GGTTTTGATTTTGACAAATCTGCATCGTGTAACAGAAAGCTGGTCTGTCTGAGAAATGTCTCACCAGCTCGAAAGTAGTGTCTGCTTACCTGTGGTAAAAACAACTTTTCACTGTGATTTCCTTCTGATAGCACTGCAGAAATAATTCATCCATAAAACAATGAAATGGATTCTCTTCAGCATCTGATATGATCAACATAATAAGATGCAAATTTTTAACAGTGTGAGCAATTAACCAGTGGAACAGCTTGTCTAGACATATGATATTCTCTCCATCACCTGGAATCCTTAAATGTAAATTGGATGCTTTTTCTAAAAGACGTGCTCTGGTGATGTTTTCATTTCCATGATTTTACCGTGCTCTCATAATGGGTAGTTTTTTTTAAAACTCCAGTACATCATGCACTGTGAAAATGTGACTGCTGATTCAGTCAAAGGTACCTTAGTCCTTGCCAGACCTGGGTCAAGGGATGTTTGGGTCTCTGTAAAAACTGTTCCCAGTCCAAGAATCATTACTGACAATGACATACAAGCCAGAAAGGTCCCATCTTGACTTCCAGATTCATGTTACACTTACAGCACTGGTAGGAAGAGAAATATTTTCTTTAATTGTGAATTGAGCAAATTAGAAAAATGTTTCTTCAGAATCAATAAACTTGGGAGCCTTGCAAAACCAAGGTGGCACAGAGCCAAACTTTATTCAAAAGTTTGGGGTTTTTTCTTTTGACAAAATCTAACAAAGCATTGTAAGGTTATTCACCCCTCATTCACAATTACATTGCTTCTTTTCTGATAGACACTAACAAATTCAGATTACAGAAATCTGAAATTGCTATTAACATGTAGATGTGCCACCTGAATTGTAACCTACCTGCTGTGTCCATAAATTGACAGACACAGCACTTGCACTGACTATTCAAATTAGATGAAAATAGTTTAGCATATCTCTGCTTCCAGATGTCATCTGTCATAAAATATTAAGTAACACTAAACAGTGTTCAGAAGAATTGCAGGAATGTGCATGTGTGCCGATATCTGTTTGAGAAGCTTGTGTCGAACGAGCGCTCAGAGAAGCTGGGAAGAGTGGGAGCAGCTCAGCATGTGCTTGCAAAGTTAAATATGACTTTGATTTAATAAGGCAGGTTTTTAATTTTTTTTTTTAAAGATAGATGAGCAAAACTGTTCAGGCGGTGAAGCCCATTAGGAGATTGGGGTTGTGACATGACTTTTCACTTTGTCCTATTAAATTGTATTCCATTTCTGTTGCTCCACAGTCTTCAGGGTAATCCAGTTCTCGGCTGTATTGGCAAACATGGTTCAATCAGCAAATTTCACAAGGGAGTCTTTCTTCTCGTGCCAAATCAATCATGGAAATATTAGCTAAGATGGGTCCCAAGAATGGTCTTTTTGGAACTCTATTAATAATATTTTTTCAGGCTATTATTTCTCTTCTCAACATATACCATTGTGGTCTCTCTCTTCACCAATCCTTTGCCTATCTCACAGTTCCTTACCTAATTCTTTCTGCTGTTTAACAATAGTTTCCTATTTTACCATAATGACCAGCAATGTATTGGCCAGTCTCAAAGGAAGACAAAAAGGGACCATGCATCCCAAGACAAAATAACAAGCAAAATTAGACCAAATTAGAGCATCTGAATAAAAGACAAGGTTGTAATAAGTAGTCTATCACCATCTAGGTGTATACTTAGGCTAATATACCAGAAAAGCCTAAAATATATTAAAATATTAACTGTATTTTATAGCATAAATCCTGGTTTCTGAGTATTTAACCCTGCATGGAATGTTTTATTTCTGTGTAATAAAAATGTTGTACGTGAGTGCTGGGAATCTTTATTTCCTGGCCCAGTTGTATGACATGGCTGTAACACTGTTTCTTCTAACTAATTTAGAGTCAATTTTCATTAGTTAAGAATCAAGTGAAGTTTTGGCCTTCTGCCTAAATGTTGGTTCTACTAAAATATTGGAGGCATGAGGCCATATTTTAAGCAATGTTAGAAGTAAGGCACTTCTGAATTAATGGGATATTTTAATGAGGTTCCTTAATATTTACAAGGAGTAAGTAATTCTATCTAGTAAAGTGTTGATGCTTGGACATGCATTGGAAAGGAACCACATGCATGGATTGTGAATGACTCTCGTTAAATTACATGGAACCCTATTGTGAACAAGATATGATTCATAATCCACGGTAATGAGCAATTAGACTGCTACCCAAAGTATTGTGCGATTTAGCTGTATTCTGAAAGAAAGCGGATGCGTCTACAAGTGCATTAATGTGCTTTAGTTGATGCCCAATAAATCTAGTACCTCCTAGACCTTTTTACACATGCTTCCGATGCAGCGCTTGGCGCTTTTAATTAGCGAGCCGTGCTAATTAAAAGTGCCTGGTGCCATGTTAGAAGCACGTATAGCCGTGGCACAGCTTTGAACTAAAGCATATGAAATGTGTGGTGCGCTTTGAACTCAAGCATATAAAATGTGTTTTAGCTCAACATACACTGCCGCCATTTTCTCAGCACAGAGGCATGCTGTGCCACTGATGCACGTGATGCGCCAGGCTGCCAGAGCACTTCAATTTACGTGTTCCAGCAGACTCGATTAATCAAATCTGCTCCGACATGCTGGATTTCCAGCACTTTGGAGTAGGCTCCCTGCATGTGTGTCAGTACCCTCTACTGTGAGGTACTAGGAAAATGCTCATTAGGTTGTCTTAATGAACATTAACTAAAGAGTGTGTTTTTTAACAAATTAAATTGGCTAATTTGCATTTAAAGTGCACATATGGCTGTGTCCACTGTGTATTACCTGTTACATTAAAATTAATCTTTTCTGTTTCATTCAGAGGTGCAGGCCTTGGGCAAGGGTGATATAAGGAATTTCATGTGATTCTTTTGCCTTTTGTCATATTTATAGCCATCTTCTCTTGCTGGAGCTTTCCCTTCCATTGTTTATAAGCACTCTTGAGATCACATCCACTATTGAAAGCTCCTCATTGGCCATGTGTTTCATACTCAATCTGTGCTTTTGCAACTTTACAATCATTTACTGAAGCCTAGGCTGCACTTGCACGATGCTAATGTAGTTTTCAATGTATTCCCCGCCGCTTGTGGTTTCTTTTTTCCTTGAATGATTTGTCCTCATAACCATATTCATAAAACTGCACACAACCAGGGACAAATGTCAGCATTTCTTTTTCAATCTTGGCATAGTACTGTTGTGTTTTTTAATTAACACTTCTGAGGCATATACCAAAGGGTAACCATTCCGTGATGGACAGCTTCCGGTCCATATCAGCTCACGTCTTTTCTGGGCAGCATAGGTTTGGCTCCTGATCAAGCCATCAGGCCTTTCATGTCCATGAATTAGCAATACTTTACCTTATGTTGTTTTTAAAGTTTTAAAATGTGCACAGTTCAAAGCAAATGTTTAAGCAGGAACTAATGTTTTAGCCCTCAACTCCTTAGCATATCTGTAGATTTATTTCCTTTTGAGCTTTGTATGAAGGGGAATATAAATCAACAATAATCATCCTTACGGACATCCAGAATATAGAAATATAATTCAGGAAGAGACCATTGATAAACATACTCTACAGATCCTGTTTTTTACCATGAAAACGGAAGTGGGTAAGTGTGCATTTTGTGTACACTTCAGTTGCAGAGAGGCAATACAAGCAAGCGTGAAGTGCTGAGGGACAGTCTGCCCCTGAACAATAGTGTGAGTGAACAAGTATTTTTACTCTGGCATTCATAAATCTGTCATGCCAGTGATACCTGACATTTTAGAACAAATCCATTGGTGTTGAATATGTTACACACCCTTTGCTCTGTCGTTGAATTTCTTTCTCTATTAGCTGAATGGGATGAAAGACTTAATTAGATGCTTCAGATTTATATTCTATGATGATGAAAATCAGTGTTCTTTTCATTCTCCTTCATGCTTCAAATCAAAGATGGATCTATTATTTCAAACAGTGACAAAACAAACACTAGCTGTTTCCTAGCAGTGGTTTTGTAAATAAACCAGCATTTTAATGACAAAGAGTTTCAACAAGTTCCAGTAAGCAAATAGCAAAAGAAAGGGAAAACTCAAACATAAAGGAAAGGTTGAAAGTTTTGCTTGTGACACCTGGAAAAGAACCCATATATCAGAGACAGAATATCTATGCTAGTACAATTACTAATTGTACCTAGAGCAACTTTACAAAACCTTATCATTTTCAAAGCACTTGCTTCATTGTCTTCCACCACAAGATTTGAGTACTCTTATTTAAAACTCCTTAAGGATACTTTACACTCGTAATACAAGGTGCACCAGGTCAAATCCTTCTCCAATGAAAATATTTCAGACTTTTTTCAGGATTTCCACAGGCTTTTGAATCCTTTAGTGCTCAATGAAATAAGCTCTCCTTAGATTCACCGTTCAGTACCCTCTATTGTGAGGGTACTAGGAAAATGCTCAGTAAAATTTCTTTTACTTAATCAAATGTTAGTGGAATCAAAAATTTAGTGAAACTGAAAGTTGAGTTTCCGATAAGTTCACACATCAACTTTGCATCTTTTACGTGGAATCTCTGTTTCCTTGTGAATTTCACTGATATCAAAGGATATCATAAACCAAAGTATATTCTGAATCAGTGGACATGTCTACATGCGATGGTACATTACCGTTGCAACGCATTATGGCAACATAGTGTCGGTGGTCACAAACCGTGATGCTGCAGTTATGTCACTGTACCAATGTCCTCCTTCATTATAGCCTGTTGCTACAGTGATGTAGCAGCTAAAAATAACCGTGCGCGGCACACACAGCACAGTACAGGCTGTTAATACTTCCAAAAAAAAGTACTAAATGCTGGCGCAGTAACAAAGGCACCATAGGAACACATGTAGATGTGCCCAGTGAGATGAAAACATGATCATAAGTAATTAAGTAACCATACAAACTAATGATTTGGAGTTATTGATTTTTTTTGTTTGTTTTGTTTTTTAGAAAAACAAAATTGAAGCAGTTGCTTTAGAAAAACAGAAACACATAATTACATGGATAGTAGAAAAAAATAGGAAAGTCAAACATTTAACTGACCATCCATGAAATGTCCATTTAATAATAATATTGATGTAAATATTTAGCACCTCCAAAATGCTAGCTATATTGATCATAATAGCTCCATTGCACAAAACAGTTTTAAAAAAACACACTTGAGAATATACATATTGGGTATACTGTACTATAAGAAAAAAAAAGGATTGTCCCATAAAGGATCTGGTCCAGAGACTGCTGAAGTCAAATAGCTTTACATTGGATCATAATTCCTTTTATCATAAGTATCTGGTTGTTTCCCCCCTTGAAAATAATTTAGTAAAGGTTAAAGGATTTATTATATGTTACTACATGATTTGTAACATTCTAAACTGTGATATCCTGATACAAATGTGTGTAAAAATGTAAATAAATATATCTTTTTCAACTGGAAGTTGTGAGGTTTTTTTCTTCTTCTTTTTTTGACAGATTAGAGTGAGGTACATGGGATAAATCATATCCACATCACAAACAACTGCAAACATTTTCTCTCTTCATTATCATCATGGTCATCTAGCCCAGGTCTTTCATGTTCGCCATACAATCAGCTGGGATTTCTACCATAGATCACTATGTGCATTATATTAGAGATCATTCTTATTACAATCACACAGCTACATTTTGGCACCACTCCATTTAATTAATTTATATACATTGATCCTCAAATTTCAAAGCTTGATTTTCTTTTCATTAACAGAATATTGATATTTACATTGTTAAGAAAATGTACAGTTTATTTCCCTTCCCCATGCCCTGGTAGGTATCACTTTTTAAGGAATGTTGTCTGTGGCTGAAATATCAAGATAAAATCTATATGTAATTTACTTTCAAAAGTCCATGATTTGAAAATGGCTTTAGTCATCAAAGAACTGAGATGGTAAGAATGAAACTCAGTATCATTATCCCAGTTGTTATTTTTATATGGTTTTCCCTTTGGGAAGCTTTGGAGTTTAAACCTGTAAAAATATAAAAACCTCGGTCAAGGAAATTCATAGGGAAAGAACACTTTCTTTCAGATCTTTTTTACATAAAAAAAAAATAAAAATCCTACTAATTCTCAAAACACGATTCATACCAAATTGGTATAAATTATATCATTAGGTCACTAAGGAAACCCTGATTCCAATATATGATCAAAATCAGGTACAGCGGGGACATGAACAGGAGTCTTCCACCTTTCAGAGGTTATTCGTTGTCCTAAATTAAGTAGCTCTCAATTTCTGTTATTGAAGGCATTCCACTTTGAATGAATAAGGAAAAAATTATTGGAGCAGACACTTGAACTTGAGACTCCCACATCCTAGGTCAATAGCCTAACTACTCAGTTATGGGGACTGTTCTGTATAAGAAAAAGTCCCAACCCAAAAGCCTTGTTCTACTAACTGTTCAAGCTTCTGCTTTTTCCAACAGAGCGTTTGAATTTGTGCCGATAGAATCCCACATGAATTTCCTAGCTACTGGATTGGACCCCGAGAAAGATTTATCAAAACTTGTACACTCTTCCACAACATTTCTGTAACAATTCATTGGCATTATACACTGAAAAACACTTAATTGAACAATTTTTACCCAGTAAATGAGGACAGTTAGGTATCATAGTATTATAGTGCTTAGGGTCAGAAGTGACCTAAACAGTTCATCAGGTCCAACGCCCTGCCCCGGGCAGGAATGAGTGCTGGGTTCAGAACACCCCAGCCAAATATCTATCCAGCTTCCTCTTGAAGATCCCCAAGGTAGGAGAGAACCACCTCCCTTGGGAGCCCGTTCCAGAGCCTGGCAGCCCTAACTGTGAAATAATGCCTCCTGATGTCCAGCCTGAACCTGCTCTCTAATAATTTGTGGCTGTTATTCCTAGTAACCCCAGGTGGTGCCCAGGGGAACAGAGTCTTACCCAATTTCTGATGGTCCACCCTGGTGAGTGGGTAAACGGTTGGCAGATCCCCTCTCAGCCTTCTCCTGTGGAGGCTGAATAGATTCAGGCCCTTTAGCCTCTCTTCAAAGGGTCTGACCCGCTGCCCCTTGACCACATGAGTGGCCCTCCTCTGGACTCTCTCAGTGCTAGCCACATCCCTCTGAAGTGCGGCGCCCAGAACTGGACGCAGTACTCCAGCTGTGGCCTGACCAATGCTGCATAGAGGGGGAGGATCACCTCCCTGGATCTGCTTGTGATGCATCTGTAGATGCATGACAAGGTGTGGTTGGCCTTACTGACTGCTTCCTCACATTGGCAGCTCCTGTTCATCCTGACAATGACTCCAATATCCCTTTCTGCTACTGTGTTGACAAGAAGGGTGTTCCCCAGCCTATAGGTGTGTTGCTGGTTCTTTCTCCCTAAATGCAGCAACCTGCACTTGTCTGTATTGAATGCCACCCTATTCTCATCCTCCCACCTCTGTAATCTGTCTAGATCTAGCTGGATTCTGTCCCTCCACTCCAGTGTGCCTACCTCACCCCACATCTTAGTGTCATCAGCGAATTTGGGCAGCGTGATTTCTACACCCACATCCGGATCGCTGATCAAGATGTTGAACAGTGCAGGCCCCAGGACCGAGCTCTGGGGGACTCCACTGCCCACATCCCTCCAAGTCGAAAATGACCCATCCACCACCACTCTCTGGGTATGACCATCTAGCCTATTGGCCACCCATTTGACTGTGTAGGCATCAATGCCACAGTCACCTAGTTTTTTGAGAGAATGTGGTGAGAAACAGTGTCAAAAGCTGTGTCATGAGGTAGTAGGACCCTCATTTAAAGGGTAATCTAGGAGGAGGGCATAACCAATGCAACCTCAAGTCAATAACCAGCAAATTTAGGACTACATTATATATACATATTAACCACAACCCTGTGTCGGGTAGGGTATTTTATTTCTTCCTCAGCATTAGTCTCTGTAGGCCAGGGTTGAGGAAGATGCGCCTGGAAAATTAGGCCATCAATAGTTGTTGTGTAAATTGCTTTCCCTTTGGTCCATTAAAAATTGAAGTGTGCAGTGATTGTTCTACATTTACCTAGCATTAAAAAAAACACACCTAGTGCTCATCTACTGTGTCTAAGGTTTATTTAGTAATTGTTCCTTTCAGAGGAGCACATGCTTCTTGCAATATTATTTTCAATGTTAGAGGGAGGGGGAAACACTTACTTGATATTTTTGGTATCCTAATTTCCTCACTACTGCTGCCATCTCCACCATCACTGACTGTTCTTATTTCTATGATATAGTCCTCTTCAAATGGTACCAGAAGCTCAGCTGAGGTGTTATTCGTTTCCAATACATGAGTTTTGCTTTGTCTGTTTTGCCGGTACAAAATCTAAATATAAGAGAATTAAGAGGGGAAAAAATGGAAGTTGTTTGATTTTTGTGGTAGCTTTATATAGGGTTTTCTGATTTCTCTGCAGAGAGCATTTTTGCCTTGTGTGTCAAACATGTAATTCTGAAAAGCATTTTAAGCACCCTGCAGACTTTATTCAAGAGAAACATAGACCTCTTCAGGAGCTTACAAGCATTTTCTGTGGAGATGCACCAGCGTTTAATGGGTGTAGTGACTCACTTTCAATGCTTGTCTCTATCCTACATGTAACGCACTGTCCACCAAAAATAGAGCAAAACTTCATAGTATAAGGTCAGGGGGAAATGAAATACCATCATTATTCATATGTTAATCTTGTTCAGAGTGCAGCTAGTGATGCAGTACAATATTTTTCACTCTAATCATGCAAATGTTATGCATATAAAGGTAGATTTTTAGGTGCTTCTCTACCTCAGTAAAGCCACATTTTCAAAACTGTTCATTGTAATACACAAACAAGAGCCCTATTTTAAAAAAAAAAAAGATCTGTGCTCAGCCCCTCCTATTATGACTTAAGGCTACATTTTCAAAAGAGTTGCTTTGCTGAGCACCTTTGATAAAATACACAGACATTGAAAAGAGCACAGAATGCAACTGAAGCCCAATTTTCAAAGTTCATGGAAGATGGATTTCAACATTAAAATGATCTATGTGAAGTAGCAAAGGTAAAAACACATACCATTATGTACACATATATATGAGTGTGTGTGTGTGTGTGCACGCGTGCGTGTGTGTTTGATTTATATTACTGGAGCTCGAAAGGGATAGTAATCTTGAATAACTAGGTCTTTTCTAATAAAGCACAGTCCCTGCACTTGGTGGGACGGATTTGGTTTTCTACGTTTGCATCTTTTTGTTAGCTCATCACTATGCCAGCTTGCACGTTGATTGGACCATTTCACTGGTGCATGAGCGCTAGCCAGGGATAAGTATATATGTGACTCCTATAGGCAAGAATGAGCTTTATTGTAAGATACCTTTCTTTGCCAGCACAACATTGAGAGTACATGACTCCTTGCTCTTGACAGCCTCCTGACATTTTTATGCTAAAATGAATCACTGAAAAGTGAAATAGATGGCTAAATGCAGTTAACAGGCATCTTAAAGTAGGTTTATCGTAGTGAGTACTTAAAGACTTAAAGAGCTCTTACAATGTCAAAATATAATAGAAACATATTGCCTTTGAAGCAACTAATTTGGGCACAAAGGAATGAAGCTAACAGTGCTCAAGACCCTAGTTCCTAACCCCAATTCCTCTCTTCCCCCTCCACTCATACCTACCCCCACCCCAAAATGCACAAATAGTCAAATAGCATAAAACATTTGAAAACAATAGCATGTGAGCTGACTGCTCTTCAGAAATATTACAGGCTTTATCTGTGCATGGGAAAATAACTAAGCAGACAAGCTTAGGGTCAATCAAGTGACAGAGAGCATAAAGGTCTTGAACCTACAAACTCGTACCAGTTGTTTTAAACCATGTGAATAAGCTTCGTGCAGGACCAGGCCTGAGGTGTCCATGTAAAGAACCTTTCTAGTCTTGAATTGGACCATTGTTATATATCCCGTGGTGTTCAAAACTATGGCAAACTGATTCTGTGTTATTCTCAGCATTTTAAAAATAATGGGTGTATGGAAATTGGTTTCACTAAGATCTCATTGACATGATGACCTATGTATCTCTTTTCCTCCAAATGTGCAGCGATACACTTATGAACTGAAAGTACAGTACAAGAGTTCTTGCTTGTTTATTGGGAAATAACTTAGCCCACTTGTAATGTTAATATTTAATTGTCCATCACACATACCAAACACTCAAGAAATCATATATTCCATTTCCTGACTAACATGGGGCCAAGTGTAGCTTTCACCAATGCAGTTGCTCTCTTTACCATGCTTCTGTTATAAACAATATGTACGATTTAATAAGATGAAGAATTACTTACTTTGTAGCCTAACACCTCTGACTCATTTTCCATTGTTTTTACATGTTCCCAATTCAAGCATATTTTTGAATTTGTCAGTTTCCATGCTATGTTTGCTGGTGGTTGACTTGGCGCTTAAATAAGAAAAAGATAATCACAAGATACAATTGAATATTAATTTACATACTGTAATTGAATGAGCCGCTGACATGGAAGTAACTAATGCATGGCTGATTCAAATCAAGAGGAGTAAAAATATTTTCCGGTCTATCATCAGTCTCATGTTAGTTAAACTAGTAAAGCTCTATTCGTAATACAAAATCACTTACTGGGAGAATGCCTTTTGAATTTTAGAAGATCTGGGGCCCTCTGACTAAGCTAAGCTACAGTGAATGTTGTGTTTTTTTTGTTTTTTTTTTAAATTTAGTGCATGATTAGCATTTAGATGCAGTATGTGATGGAATGTTTTGCTTTGAGAATTTCAAAAATATTAAAATAAAATATAAGAGATAAAACAATTGTGTGATATCAGAGATGAGTTGCGAGGCCAGGTTACAAGGTCTGAAAGGAATTAGATGTTGAAGTCTCTATTGGTTCCATCATAACAGCACTGTCGGATACTAGGAGTCCTTGTACCCTGATAAATCAAAAATGATTTTTCAAAGGTGTTTGCCATTAAAATATCATTTATGTCTCTGAAAATTACCCATGTATTAGAGGGATTGAATTCTATAAGAATATGTGAAACTGCCATTCTATAAATAACCAATCCAAAGACATGGACTGTTTCCTGTTGTTTAGTGATGGCTCCTTGGTTGGGGCTCAAGTCTGGGAGGAGAGCAATATGAAAAATAGGGAAATATGTAGACATGTATTGAAATGAAGAAAGGAAAGAGAAAAAAATGGATTTACTAGGAATAATAGGTCTAGTGATATTTGAATGAGTCAGACTTGAACATGTTACATTTCTGAGATGCTTCCTTCCCCCCACCATGTTTTACTCTTCCTATATCATACCTTGATGATTAACATATGCAAATTAGAAGGAATCGTTAATTTGGTACCAGTCTATAATCTTTTTTGTTTCCTACAGAGATGGAACACACTAATTGTTACATTATGCAAGAAAAATAGTGTTGTTTGTTTCATAATTGTGGAGAGGCTTAATCCATTTTATTGTTTGGGAAGCAAGGTGTTGGTGGCCTACCCAGCCGTAACCAAGCAGATGTGATCCCTCACTGAGAAATAATGTGAAAGCTGGGTTGGATGCTCATTTTCTTTATAAAAGCTTTTGTGAATGTTCACCCAAATAAAAATAGTGAGTTCCTCTAAATGGTATTCTCCACCTCTTTTTATTTGCTTTCTGCAAACATTTGTATGAGCAATTTGTTCACAAGGACATCCGCAGATGGCAAATTGTCATGAATACTCAATTGAAGATTCTCATGAGCATTCAAATGAAAGTGTTACCAATGCTTATGCATGGGTGAACTTCACTTTTTTTTCCCAAAGGAAGGCACATGCCTTTATTCTGCCATTTAAGTTGCTCTGGAATTCAAGCTGCCTAGGGCTAACTTTCACCCACAACCATGCCTATTTTCTCTATATAAAAGTTTGTCATGCAGTCAAGGAGCAGAGATGATACCAGGCCACCCTAAAAAACATATTACAAATACCATAGTGATAGCTCAGAACAACAGACGCAATAAACAGTCCGCAAAATCCATAAACCATGAACTGAATTAAATGACCAAAAAATGATCATCAAATCATTTCTTACGTTGAACATGGTCAACATTCAGCAAAACAGTTAAGCATGCATTAAGAGAGGCCCTAAAGGTAAATCAACCAGTCTGGATGAACAGAAGGAGAGAGTACCTATATTTCAAGCAGTTTATATAGTAACTTAAATGGTAATATAAGTTGTCCAAGAAATTTCAGTAAGAATTGCACCTAGAGAGACAGGGAGCTAAATTCTATTTGGTTGAACTTGAATCAATGGAGTCACAACAATGGAGATAAGATCTAAACTTAACTTTATGGACTGAATTTTGCCTACAGAAGAAGAGAAAAATCATTATTTCCTGATATATATATTTTTTTTTAACCAGCATGTGTTAGAAATCTTGAAACAATTGCTGCTGTGAAGACTGAGACACTGACTCAGTGGTAATGCTTTCATTATAGATGTGTGGTGTTTGTTTACTTGATATTCTGCCTGTTTTATTAAAACACCTACCTTTTCCAGTGAAAAAGTGTTAGAATGCAATATTATATATTTTTAATGTTGAATAGATCATTTTAACTTTAATGTAAATGAGCCATTAACATAGTTCTAAGATTGACAGTAGCTGTAGTCAGTATACAGTAAATATATATTTATCCCCTTTATAGCCTGCTGTTAGATTGCAATATTTAAGCGTGTGTGTGTGTGTGTGAGTACGAATATCATCTCTCATATACAGAATAATTTCAAAAAATGGTCTATTTTCCATTTAAACAACTGACTCAGAGAGAAAATTCTAGCTCTGGCCCACTGAAATGCTACCTCTGTCTCAGTGTTTCTTCATGGTATTATAATTAAAAACAGCTCACACTGTGCACTCATTTTAATAAACTGGTTCTTATATTGCACTTTCAAGTAAAAGCATGTCCAAGAATTAAAATGGGAAGAGATGAAAAGAAAAGGGCAAGATAAATACTTCCTTTTTGGTCCACGCGTATTAATTACATGTTTACAGTTGTAAAGTTGTTGTAAACAAAGTATAATATTAAAAGTTAGGGCACTTACCAATACCAAATTTGGTAAGTAAGACTGCAGGGGACTTTACCTACCAGTGTGAATTAGTAAGGCTTCTAGGAAGTAAGACTGGTCCTTGAAAGCCACTTTGAAAAGATGGTAGTTACTATTTTCATCTAGGAGAGAATTGTTTTGGTGGCACAGAAGCTTAACCAGATTTATGCTACCAGGGATTCTCTGGTTATTCCCATATAAGTGACTTATATAGGAGAAAATAATGTACCATTACTCTTTACAGAGGAACTCTCAAATGCTGTGGGAGGGAATGGCAGCATCACCCAACATGGGATTGTGTGCTGTGCCCCATTAATTCCTACCCAAATGCTATAGATATTAGGTGTTCCTCCAGTTAAATTGGAACCATCTGCTGCTCTAGATTACTTTACTTCCAAGGTGAAATTAGCCCCTTGTCTACAAAGCTTGGTAGAACAAAACGATAGCTTGTAGTTACGTTTCCTATTGCCTCACCTCCTTGGAAGTGGGCAGCTTGGCTAGATCTAAACACTTGACCATCTGAGTTGAAATAATTAGCATATTTTATCAAAATAAACTAAGCAAACAAAGACTCAGCACCAATCTTTTAGATTTTAAAGATTCAATTACCTTGAGTGAGGCTGAGCTCAAGATAATTGAGTATTCTAGTAGGCAGATCTTATTCTGATGCATCTTCCTAGTGTGATGATAATCACAGGAAAATGGAAAAGCAGTTAACTAAAATGTCTTCTAGACTGATCACAGGCATTCTGATGCTATGATGGATAGAGGTGGGCAGGCATGGTGCATTGGTATAGAGAACTTGTTTAGAAGGCTGTGATTGATTGAACAGTAACACGTGCCTAAACTTACTGTGGCTAACTAACTGTAAATAGCAGGGGTAATAATAGTAAACATAACCTAGATACAGAGCCCTTCAAATGGTGGGAAACCAGCTCTCGATCATGGCAAAAACCCATATCTACCACTACAGTACATAAACCCTGTCGCTTTGTGGAACGGATTAGAGTGCTTAGTTTATTTATTACTACTACTACTTTTAACTTGTCACTTACAAAGCACTAGATTTCTGAGGGTCTTTCTATTTTTCAAGTATTAATTAATGAGGTTTTGCGATGTCCCTTTGAGTGTTATGATTACATGGCTTTAATACAAACAAATTACTGCTCTAAGGAATAAGAAATAGACTGCCCTTCTTATTGATGGTAAGTACTGCCTAGGTAAGCCTTTGCCTAGGCGACCAATCACACAGCTTGAATGTCAGCTCACAAATAGCAAATTCATTAAAGTAACACATAAAGATCATCTCCTGACTTGCAAGAGAATTAAATTGTTTTGCAAAGGACAGTGCTTCCATTCCTACCTACCCCTGCGCCCAGAT